CTATTAAATAAAGAACTTTCTAGAAACTTTTGTAAAGGGAAAACGTTTTTTTTTGTCAGATCTTACGTATTCCTTATTGATTTGCACTTATTAGTATTTCACTCCCAAAATCTTTTTGTATTAGTCATAATCTCCAGATATTCAAAATTCTTCTTGACTATGTTGTAGTAAATCGATTTGAATAACTTCCCAATATCTCTTACATTCGTATCATTTTATATTTTTAGCCGAGGCCTTGAAGTTTCAAATTCATCTCAATTTTCTTTTTCCAAATATCTTGAGAATGGTATTATACCGGATATAGTATCCCTCACAAACAACGATTAGAAAACTCTTATGAATAACGTCCAGCAGCATGAGTTTTTAAAAAACGAACGATAAGACCTATATAATGTTTTTTTATCATCAAAACTTTTCATTGAAAACAAGGGCGCACAGCAAGCCCGTTAGTGGCCTAGGTGTATTAAGAGGGATTAACGTTTACATTTAAGTTATTTATACAGTCATTATAATCTGAAGACGACTTTGTATTAGGGCTAGGGTCAAATGAGGCCCTTTCAGACTCATGCCAAACTAAATTGCGTGGCAAAATTTCATCAAATTATCTTGAAAATTGCGAACTGCAACGTGCGCACAAGTATTGCAAGGTTACGCATACGGACGCGCAAACGGACCCAGAAAGGGATTCATATCCGATTGGTATACTTTAAGGTGTCAATAAGGCCAATATTTTTGGATGTTACAAATATCAGTACAAGTGCATAATACACCCACCCCCCCCCCCCCCCTTTATAGTCGTGGAGGACATAAAAAGAAAAAGAAAATGTAAAGAAAAAAGTAGAGAATTACTACAAAAGGATCTAAAGAGCAACATATTCAAATCTAGGGAAAAATATTAAAGATGGCTAATGCACTTATAGAATTCACTATAGAATTACCTATAAGTATACAACCTCTTCCCTGGATAAAATCTTTTAAATTACTCAAATTATATCCCGAAAAATTCTCCAAATATCAAGCATAAGCGAAACGTAAAAAGTCGGTATTGCGAAGTTAACAATCCTTGGTCGTAGTTGAACTACGAGTCGTTTCGGTGCGAAGAACAGATTGCCGTGGGAACAAACTGAGATTATGTAGAATTGGACAGTTGCACATAGAGTGCTAAGTGTCTCCAACTCCTTTATCCCATTTACCTACATTGCCAGAATCCTGAAATGAAGCCACCAGCTGTGAGTACTGTACATGAGTAGGTCCAAAAAGCTAGTCAGACTAACTTTATAGTTCATACCACTTATGGACTCTGTCGTTATACGGTGAGTATAGATGAGAATGTGGATGATGTGGATTGATCTAAACAAATCGAACAAACTAAAGACATGATTGCAGACTTTTTATGCGTTTAAATAGCAGAAATTAGCTCCGATGTTTTAAGTTTCCATAGGGTAACGCACCATGTCATCGTTCTTTTGTTTGAAGAACCCTAAAGTCATATAGGTGGCTGAAAAAATTTCTTATTACACAAAGTGGACATGGAGTTTTATATTGAAGACCCAGAAACAAAAATATACCACCGTTTATCTAATCATTACACAAGCCATGCAGATGTCCGAGCAATAACGGAATGTGTAAATTGAATTAGATTACATATGGCGCCCACAGCCATTAATAAATTTACCGACAGCCAGAAGGCAATTAGGGTGATATCAGGTGATAGAATTAAATCTAAGACCGTATTGGTCTTAGATGTAAACCACCCAGAGGTAAGGTTTACATCATATGGGTACCAGGCCACTCGGCAGTAGTCGGCAACGAAAGGGCGAATGTAATAGCTTTAAAATCATTCTACGCAACAAAAGCTGAATAAAAAATATGGGTGAGAGTATCTCATAAGGCCTCTTGGAATAATGAAACGGAGGGTAGAACTGAAAAGATCCTATGGGGTGACCCTGATGAGAACAAGACGAGAAATCTCCTCAAAATGAGCAAGTCTAAGATTAGTATGATGGTACGTATTCTGAGTGAACACACAGGATTCCGGAATAACATCTTGGAAGTGATGTTATTTCAGAAATAACATTCCTGACTAACACTAATTGGAAAATTCTTAGGAATTACGTTAAAAAAACTGAAACATTGAAAAAGGAGCGCACAACATGCCCGATAGAGGCCTCGGTGTATTTCTTCGGATTTGATGTACTATATATTCTTCTATCAACCTAACTTATTATAGATACTGGGTGAGACGCCCTACAAATTCCTTATAATCTAAACTATAATGAAGGTTTCAACTTTAGTTACTATTCTGAGTGAGGAGAGAATTTTCTCAGGACAAATTTGATCATAGCATGGGTTATGTTGTCATACAGATATGCTACTTAGAAAAACTTTACAATTATAATTATAACAGGGACAAATCATAAAATCCCGGCGGCTATCTTCATATAAAATGCTATGCCTCCAATCACATGTGCTAAATGTCATTGTGGAATAAGCTGTGTAGCTTGTTGCTCCATCCTGTTGAAAACACAAGTGTTTGGTGTCTATATCATACAATTCCAATCCAAAAGAAGTTGGTATGCATCGACCAATAGAGAAACTAACCGCTTCGAAATTACTTAAACACTCTTACGGAAAGCGGCGATGTTCCTTGCAGAACATGCATTTTGTCCTAGTGAAGTCCTAGTGAATGGAAATACAATTGGAAAAGCATTGAACTGCATTCTATGTATCACCTACTAAAAATCACCTTAACCCTAAAAAATTTAATTTATAATACCTAAATGAATTAAAAAGCTAAAGTTAAAATGCTTAATAATATCGAATAGATTTAAAATTTGTTAAAAACATATTTTAAGAATCAGCTTGATTTATTACAAATTAATACCACACAGATGTTTTGTCCACTTTCAATAATTTTTATTAAGATTTTTGTGCCACAAAAACAAAATAGTTTGCCAAATAAAAATACTTCTCTTTAGAATTCCCATAAGATCTTTAAAACACTAAAAAAAAACAACTAACTAAATATCCCCAGGGTATTTTGCTAATAAAAAAAACTACTTATAACTTATAATATAAAACTATTAGGCCAAAAACTATAACATTATTAAACTTAATGCTAAAACGTAAAACGTTCAGTTATTAAAACAGCTATAAAATATGCCGACGGCAAAACGAAATTTTATGTCTTCCTTTACTGTGAATACAAACAAAAAAATGTATAAAAATGCCATAAAATTCAAATACACACCGTGATTGTGTCTCTCTAACACGACAACCAAAAAGATTTGTAAATTTTCTAATGAACACATTTCTATAATTAGGAATAAATTAAATAAAATTATTTTACAACACAACAATACTGTCGATTTTCTGTATGGGAAAATAGAAACAAAAATGAATTTGTTAATTTTTCTCCTAGGATTTTCATTAAAATTCTATAAAAAATAAAAACAACCAATAAAGTTGAAATGTAAGTTTTTAAAAAGAATAAAAAAAACTATTTAATTATTTGTATTACAAGCGTACAGTGTTACACAGATATATATGTTTGTGGATTCATAAATAAATGATTGTAACACATTTTATATAATTACAACATACATGCAACTAATTAATGGATGACATGACATGTCATTTAAACACCGTATTTGGTTTAGTTAGAGAGTGGGAGCTTAAAAATAAAAAAACTTATTGAGAGAAATGTTAAGCCTGAACAGAAGCTATACAAGATCGAAGTAGTAGTAAGCTAAAGATAGTTAATTGATAAAGTTCAATAAACTGTTTTAACCTTAAAGTGTTGAACTTTTCTTTAATTTGGATCTAGTTTCTAGTACTTTCACTCTTTCATTGCTAATTATCGCCGAGTGGGTTATGGGTACCAGCCTTTACGTAATAGATGTTGAAGAAGTAAGGCCTGGTACACATATAATACAGAGCTTAGGACTAGATGCCTCTCTTACAGTCCAAACCTTATCAGCTGTGATCGCCCTAATTGCTTTCTGGTTGTCGCAAGATAGAAGGTAACCTCTATTGCTGCCATATTCCATTCAAGCCATTTTACTTATACTGTTTTATCTCTCAGTCTAGTGCCTAATCTATTTACGGCATCCAGGGCTATTTTAATAGGATGTGTTCCTAAATCCATAGTATAAAGTGAAGTAGGATTAGCATCGCAGTCGAATATGAGTTGGACATAATGGAGACCTGTCCACAATATGGACATTCGTTAAGGGACGGAACGGTCTATGGGTGACCATAGACCTGCGTTCCATCACGATCGTAGTTATTCCAGCGGTCGACAACAAAAACAAGTATAACATTTATGCTATATCCTGCGATCGCAGAATTGGTGGCGTCTTTTTGCATGCCCTATACCAGGACTGATCTATGTTCTCCTCTTATATACGAAGTTCTTTCGCGACATGTCTCGGCGGGAGCAACCAACTGTTGGATATTAAGTTGGGATGACTGCTTTGCTGATATTCCAGGAGGAACTGTTTAGTTAACTTGACGATGTGTTCCTTGAATGGGAAGACCTTTATTTCCTCGTTTAGGTGATTGGCTTAGAACCAAATTTTGGCAGCTTTGAATGTTTCTATACTGGGTGTCACTGAGCCAAGGTAAAGAATCAGAAGCAGCATAATAAAACACTGACCAATCTATCCTTTTATATGTATGTATGTAGCTAATGAAGTTTCTTTATCTATATCCCCAATGCCGACGGCTATTGCTTCCGTCCTCGTTGGATTGACTATCAGCCCAGCCTAAAGACTAACAAGGACCGACAGACATCTACTCAAAAATTTATTCGTTAGGGAGTGATGAACTAATACATATTTATAATCTTCATTATATCCATCCCACAATGATGGTGTAGTTTATTAAATTATAAAATTGAAATCATGTTTTTCTAGAAATTTGCCATAAACCACAATTGTGCAACAACAACAACAAATACTACAAATTAGAAGTCATCAGCAATAACAATAAAAACTTACTTGAGCTATTGACCATATTGGCGCCACCTCCACAGCCGCCGCCAGCTTGTGCATTTAGATGCGTTTTATCCATATCATGAACTTTCGGTGATGAAGCCTCTATTTTAACCAGAGTCGTCAAGGTTGACGATGACATAGTTTTCGCAGCGGCCAATGAACCCGTAGCCGTTGAAGCAGCCAAAGACGACAGGGAAGAGGAGGCGGATGAGGCCGCTGCTGCTGCTATAGAACCAATAGTATGATGATGATTATTTGTATTGGAGGTAGTAACCTCCGACACCTGGCAAGGTTCACGTTTAATTTGAACAAAAGTATACGAAGAAGTCGATGTATTAGAGGCTGAGTGAGAACTAAGCGACACTGGGTTTGAGGTCACAAAGTGGGGAGAAGACAGGAAAGCAGATGAATCCAATGGCAAGTGAGATGAAGTAACGGGTACCAGATAAGTGGTGGAGGTAGTACTGCTACTACTGCTGCTGCGTTCAAAATGTTGTTGTGCGGGATGATGGGAATGGTGTAAAGTGTGGGATAGAGGTGGTGGTTGATGATTGGTAAATTGATGAGGCTGCGGCTGATGATGTGGCTGGGAGTGATGGTTGTGTGGTTGAGTATTGGAGCCGCCGGCGGCTAAAGAGTTACTCAACACATCTGCTGCTGAATGAGGATTACTGGTGTTAAATGATGCCATTCATTTGCTGTTGGGCCTGCTTTAAATTAAAGGAATTTTTATTTTTCCTAACTTTTTACTTTTTCTCTTAATTATTAAATTATTTTTGATTTTAAGATTTTTTCTTCTTTTCTTTAAATTTGCTGTAACTGCGTGTATTTGTTTACTTGTATGTTGTTTGTGTTTTTGTCACTTTTTGCATGTGTGTATTTGTTTGTATTTAGTGGGTGTAGGGGGGTGTTCAAAGATAAGACAGACACCCTTTCACAAGGTGGTTTCTTTCTCTAGTTAAAACATGTTTCTTTTTAAAACTTTTTTCACATTTTTTATAATGATCGTTTAACAATTTCTACAAATTTCTAATTTACTTTGTGCAAATACTTTTGAAATGACATAATTCCGGCCATTTTGCTGGTATTTTCAATAAAATTTATGAACCATTTTATTTTTTGCATAAAATGATGGCGACGGTTTTTAATGGTGGCCGCCACTCAAGCAGACTGGATTTTGTTTTTTTTTTTTTGGTATTTCTTTATTTTTTCACACTTTTTGCTCTAAAAACTTTTTCTTTACTCTTTTTTCATTATTTTAACTTGAACACAAAAACACTTTCAAACACCAACAAACTTTTTTTATGCACCATTTATATTTCGAAGGATGATTTTTATCTTTTATTTTTGTTGTATTTTTTGTTAATTCTAAGAATTTTCTACATTTTCAAGTTTTAAAATAAAAAAAAAGAAATGGCAACAACAAAAACTATTATGTTGCGAAAATTTATTGCGACGGCCCTGTTAAAGCACAAAATCAAAAAACGACGTCAACATACAACCGAAGACGACAACGATATAACAACGAACGTTGGATTTTTTTTATTTCAAACGGAGAGGAGACACAAAAACGACGACCACAACGGCTACGACGACGACGACCACCATCATCATCATCAGCTCAAAACAAAAAAAATACAAACACGAAAGAAAAAAAGTAACTTTTCAAGTTTTCACTTTTTGTTTTAATAACTTTTTTCTTATTTGCCCCTTTATTTTCTTTAATTTTTGTATTTTTTGTTTCTTCTTCTAATTTCAACAACAACTACTCACTCTATTTTTTAAATTATTCTTTGTTTTTATTTTGAATTTTATTGAGCTTTTTTGTTATTCCTTGATGTTTTTTTACGTATTTATTTTTGTTTGTTGTTGTTGTTGCTGCTGCCATTGTGTTTGTTGTTTTAATATTTATTTTTGCACATTTTCGTAGTTTTTCTTCTTTCATTCATTCTCACTTCACCATTCAACATATTTTTTGTTATTTATTTTTTTCTTCTTTTTTATTTTGCTTCTATCTTTTGCTTTATTTTCTTTTATGCACTATTTCCGTTTTGTTCTGTGTATCACCCTCTCTCTCTCTTTCATACACACACACTTGCATTAACTCTCTTGACAAGTTAGTAGTTTCTTTAATTCGATTTTCTTTATGAATTCTTTAGATTTTTCGAAAACTTTTTTTATTTTCTTATAAAACACTTATTAAATTTATATATTCTGCACAATTTAATTATTTATTTATTAGTTTTATTGCCGTAAATCTTTAATTTTGTTTAGAATATCGTCCGTCTTGCCTTTCTTCTTCATTTTGTATGTAGTTTTCGTTTGAGTGTGTTTGAGAAAGACACAATATAAAAACGGAGATACAAGCCAACTCGGCTAAAAACGCCGTTGGCTGGTCGCCGGCAACATTTTGGCAAGCTGCGCCGCCGCCGAATCAAAAACTCAAGATGTATTAATTTTGAATTGTTTTTATTTTCTTTGGTATTTAGAAAATATTTTTACAAAACAAAATACACGTTTTTTTGCTTAGTTGTATAATTGGACCTATGAACATGTAAACGATTATGCCATGCATAAACTTGTATTTCTAAAATAATTTGAACTGAGTTGCCACATTTTACAGACAAATGAGTTGCCACATCATATTATGTTCATATATGTAAATTTTAAAAAGCTGTTAGATACAATTTTTAATATAAATAAAAGTAATATCGATCATCTCTGCATAATACATATATAGAGACACTTTTCTATCTCACAAGCCTATATAAAGACATATCTCTATATAACAAACGCATACATATATAGACAATTTTCTGAAAAACAAATTCTCAGATCAGATTTAGCCAATATTTTAGCCGCCGCCTGTATATTTTATAACAAGCTGCCGCCGACAATAATTTTGCATCGGCTTCTATATCATAATAAAAATGCCAAAGGTTGTAAAACACTAACAGTGTTGTATTTTTCTGCCATAATGTTATTTTCTAAAGAGTACCATATATGGAGGATAAAGTAAAATATAGTCCAATCCTCACCAAATTTGGCAGGGTGAATTTCGTTCCTATAGAAATTATTTATGTCTAATTTCGTTACTAGTGTTATTACTAGTATTATTAAGCCTGTTATATAAGCGTTAAAGTTATTTTCTGAAAGAGAAAATAAGGAGGATATGATCAATTATTGACGGATTGAAAATCTGTAAAACTGTAAAAACCGAATAGTTAATACTAAAAAAGTAGATAATTCAAGATTGTAAAAAGTTAAAAAGTCGATATCTCATGAACTGCAAAATCTCTACTTTTTGTTTCAAATATAGAATCCAAGTGCGGCCTCCCGTACGTTAAAGGTAGTTGTTAGTCTAGTAAACTGGAAGTTGTAGGCTTTATTTCCACCTGAGGCATTGGTAAGAAATGAATTTATAGAGTTGGGTGGGCCGTCTTTTCAAGGTCCATTGGAATTTGACAATCCTAGAATTATGCAGTGGTTTTTGTTTTTCATACTTTAAATATTGCGTTGCCATCTATAAGCAGTAACTTCATAATTAAATCTCTACTTGGTGAAATTATGCCAAAACCTCTGATAAAATGTGTGATAAATGAGACTTGTATACAGGCTTAAACCGCTCGTTTGTCAAACTCAAGTGCTGGTACCTTGTTAAGTAAACCGTGAGCACATCCATGATGAAAGACGAAATAGAGCCAACGCAAATGGAAATCACTGTCTTTTTTTCCTTTGTCGAACGGCACAGCGGAAATTTCTTCAAGCTGGGCACAGCAATATAATTTTTTTATACAGTGCTGCGCCAAATAAAAGTCTGGTCAACCAAATCTGCTTATTCGCAGTAACTCGCATAGCAACTTGAGTGATGAGGTGACAGCTAGTGACAATTTGTGAAAATATATCTATGTGGTTTCAATAAATGTCAATTTTTTTTTCATATGTGATTTGACATCCTGGAAACTCAAAGACATCTGTATACTATGCTCTGCTTACAATTTATGTTTTCGACAATATTATGTAATATTGTGCCATCTATGTTTCATTGGAAAATTAAATGTACGCTTATCAAAGACACTTTTTATTAGTTTAATTTTACACTGACTACCAGATGACGCCGTTTGTGAGACATGTCTCGCAATCAATCATGATGTTTCTTTGGGGAAAACTAGAGGACTTTCAGTTCAAGATTAGGGATATAAGTAAAAATTTTTTTGGTACCACTGCCGCCTTTGAAATGTTATTTAGTACATTTTTGTTCAATTCCACTTTGTTTCTTATAAATGTGCTGGTTTTTGTCTTCGCTTATCAGGGAACATTCTTGTTTCTAAATGTACTCCAATAATCAAAGACAACTGCCTTGTGATTTAATTGGCAGTTGTCTAAAAAATGTTGCAAAATTTTTTTTTGTAAAACAAACAGAAATAAAGATTTCAATAAAAATATTTCCAAGTTGAATAAACTATTACACTTTTTTCCTAATTATGAGGAATTTGCCTCTTCTGGAAATAATTTCCAATATTTGAAATATTTAGCATAAGTATTATTAATGTATATTGATTGATCTTTGTTAGTATCTTTATTGTAACTGCACTGATCACTTAAAAGCTAAACAAATATTATTTTGTTTCAATGTATAATCAAATATTTCTTTTTTCTCGTATTTTTTTGGCAAATTAAAATCACCTACACTAAATTCTAATAATTGAATAAACGATAAATGTAGAAGTAGAAAAACAAAACTTTAAAACTTATAACAAGTGGAAATGCTTTAAAAAAAGTAGCCGGTAAGTTAAACATGTACATAAGGCTTGTTAGTGAAATAAATGGATAGTAATATAACATAATAAAAGTGAAGTGAAATAAACTCTCTAACAAGCTTTATGGATGTGTAAAACATACCCGTTAAAACTGACAATTATTATTTAAATATTCTAATAATTTAAGAAGCAAATATCATTTTACATTACTTATTTATGTAGTTAGGTATTTGCTTACATATAAATACGTCTTAAATCTTTTGGAGTTGTTATCAAATTACATTGCGGACACAGTTTGCGGGCACCCAAGGAACGTAACCAACATTGTTCGCAGTGCACATGCCAGCAAGCCACCGATATGGCGGGATTACGATAATCATCTAGACAAATGAGACATTTATACTTGCCCGGAACATGCTGCTGTTCATAATGCCTTAGTTTGGCCTTCAAAGAGTCTATAATTTGTTGATAATGAGCAGGTGTTGAGGGCTGGACGGCAGTTTCAGTGTTGGTCTCTACTACACCAGGAGCTGTTGTTACAGCCGATGTTGTTGTTGTTGTTGTCATTTCACTCCCGCCTAAGATGTGTTGTGGTGAACTTAAGTTGTCATTGTGGCGTTGGTGGTGGGTATTTTCTAAATTTGTGACCAACTGTGTGTGTGATGATGAACCGTTTGTTATTAAACGTCTCATGTAGGAAGTCACATCACTTTCATCTTCATTGAGTATATGTGATGGTATAACATCACTTTCGCCATATTGTGCTGGTCCATAGATTTGTGTATCATCTTCATCAACATTAAGATCTTCATCATCTTCGTCCTCATCTTGGTGGCCATTTAAACGTTGCCCACTACTCACGCTGCTGCCATTTGTCAATGGCTGGCCAATGCCTATAGCAGCATAGCCGCCCTGCAGTAGACTAGAAACTCGTATACGTTTTTGTCCCGCCCATTCGTATTCCTCGTACTCTTCGCCACCACCACCCACATCATCGTCATCATTACTGGAATGTTCATCACTATTACTGCGTCCATTGGCAGTACGTCTGCTTCGCCTTAGGCAGTCTTCGGCATGTTGTTGTATTTCATCCTGTGGGAAATGTAAATTGCATACAGGACATGGATGTTCGGGAGCCAATGGTCGTTTTCGATTGCGTTGCTGTAAAGAAAAATATGAATTAACATTATAGACAGATAGATAGATAGATAGATGATAGATAGATAGATAGATAGATAGATAGATAGATAGATAGATAGATAGATAGATAGATAGATAGATAGATAGATAGATAGATAGATAGATAGATAGATAGATAGATAGATAGATAGATAGATAGATAGATAGATAGATAGATAGATAGATAGATAGATAGATAGATAGATAGATAGATAGATAGATAGATAGATAGATAGATAGATAGATAGATAGATAGATAGATAGATAGATAGATAGATAGATAGATAGATAGATAGATAGATAGATAGATAGATAGATAGATAGATAGATAGATAGATAGATAGATAGATAGATAGATAGATAGATAGATAGATAGATAGGATAGATAGATAGATAGATAGATAGATAGATAGATAGATAGATAGATAGATAGATAGATAGATAGATAGATAGATAGATAGATAGATAGATAGATAGATAGATAGATAGATAGATAGATAGATAGATAGATAGATAGATAGATAGATAGATAGATAGATAGATAGATAGATAGATAGATAGATAGATAGATTAGATAGATAGATAGATAGATAGATAGATAGATAGATAGATAGATAGATAGATAGATAGATAGATAGATAGATAGATAGATAGATAGATAGATAGATAGATAGATAGAATAGATAGATAGATAGATAGATAGATAGATAATAATAGATAGATAGATAGATAATAGATAGATAGATAGATAGATAGATAGATAGATAGATAGATAGATAGATAGATAGATAGATAGATAGATAGATAGATAGATAGATAGATAGATAGATAGATAGATAGATAGATAGATAGATAGATAGATAGATAGATAGATAGATAGATAGATAGATAGATAGATAGATAGATAGATAGATAGATAGATAGATAGATAGATAGATAGATAGATAGATAGATAGATAGATAGATAGATAGATAGATAGATAGATAGATAGATAGATAGATAGATAGATAGATAGATAGGATAGATAGATAGATAGATAAGATAGTTAATAATAGATAGATAGATAGATAGATAGATAGATAGATAGATAGATAGATAGATAGATAGATAGACTCTCTAATATAATGACAATTAAATTAGTATATATTCATAGCATTTTCATTACGCACGTCATAACAAATTTTATAAACCTAGCATTATTTTGCAGTTCTATTAACTAACCAACTGAAGCCATAGAAAACTTACTGACACATACTCATACACACAGTTTTAACTTAACTATTTGCTACTTTTGTTCGTTTGTGCACTTACCTTCATGCGTGACTGACGATTCCTCTGCACTCTCTGAAAGACAGTCCAAGGTTTACGTTTTTCTGATGAAGACTGTCCATTTGACGTGGAACGTCCCGCCTCGTCAGCCTCCGGTGGAGTGCTATCATCATCTTCGGGTTTAATGCGAGATTCTATGAGGGCATGTGTCTGTAGTTCTTTCAGGCGTTGCATTTCTTCTTCACAATGTTTGGCCACTTCATAACGATGTAATTTGGCATCACATGTGGGACATTGTACCATGGCTTCATCCTCAAATGAGGGTGATGCATTTAGTGTAGAGGATGAGGCAATGTTTGTTATACTGTTCATCTGGGGTAAACTGGCTGTCGAAGAAGACTCCATTTAAGGCCATAGAAACGTTAATAATATTGTCTATTTTTAATCAGTTGTACGGTTTTCTATTAAAAATTCTTTATTCAAGGGGAAATTAAAAACAAACTTTTATATTTCCTTTGGATTCTTGGGATTTTTAAAGATTTTTTTCCACTTTTTATGCGGTTCAAAAAATTTCTGCTGGTCTTGACGAGAGAAAAAAAACAACAATGACAGCTGGCTTTAAAGCAACAATAACAAAAACAACACAATCAAAACAAACAGTGTTGCATTTAACGGTATTGAATGAGAAGAGTTTCACCCATATTGCAACTCTGTTGTTTTAATACATTTCTTACATTTTGTTTTGTTTTTCAAATTCGTAGACAAAAACAATAAACCCATACATTCATAAAACGTTTTTTTGTCGAAAAAGGTAAAGAAGCAGTATCTGTGTGGAAATAAGCGGGGAATAGAAAAATAGCTAAACAGCAACAGCATTGTATCAAAATTAGATATTTTATATTGACATTGATAAAATATTATTGAATTTACTTTTGTTTTTTTTACTTTTAATAATAGTTAGTTTATGACTACTTTTCAAAAAATTTCAACAATTTGTGAAAACTTAAGCCGACATTGAAAATTTTAGTTTTTGCCGCCGCTGCCTTTATTTTTAGTTGGCACAGCTCTGTTAGAGCAGTAGTCAGAGACCCGCGCCGATTCGGCTTTAAGCCGACTAAGCCTAGCCGCCGAACAAAATATCAATTCTGCCGACTGCGAAAAGAAATTCTGCTACAATTTTTCGCGCCAAACTGTCACCTTCAAAAACTGATTTTAACGTTTTTTACGATATTTACGATAATAAAATAATTTTGTTGAAACGAAAATATGTCTACCAAATTTTATGACAATCGAAGCATAATTCACCCTAAACCCATGTGAGATGTTCTTCAGAAAATGTCTAAAACGCACAAAAATGGCTTTGTAGATGTAATAATGGAATTCGAAAAAAGAAAACTTTTTTAGGAACCGAAACCTATATTTATGAAACCTAAAATTATGAGGATCGGTCCGGCAATATAACCCTGTTACAGAAAATCCATTTATAGTTAATACATCATTCCAAAAGTTTAGCATTATGATAGAATTATGGTAGAATTAAAAAAATACTTTAAATTATGGAGATCTTGGTCCATAATTGACCAAATCTCTCATTGAAGTCCCTATTCCGAAAATCAATTTATAGTTAATACATCATTCCAAAAGTTTAGCATTATGATATAATTATGGTAGAATTAAAAAAAATATGTTTTGCTGATGGGTATATAAGATTCGGCATAGCCGAATATGACACTCTACAAACAAGAATATACGAAAATGATACGAATTTGTATTGATTAGAAGAAAAAATTTATTACGGCAACAATCATATTCGTGTTGCGGAAGATACCTCCTTCGGGAGAGATACCTCCAAGCAATACTTCTAGACGATAAAAAAGAGACATTGCTAGTTAATCAGCATGGTGACAATAAGAAGATATCTTAAGATAATCGTCTGGAAGATATATAGGAGATAGGACCCTACTATCTACTATATACATATATATTATCTATAGTTTAATCTATATTTTGTGTTTTTCAGTAATCACTTACGTTACTTATTATCTTAGTTTAACTCATTATTATTTTCCAATTAAACCTTAGTTAAAAATGAAAAAACACAATCAATAAAAACAATAAAATAATAAATTCGGAAGGAGAGAAAGACTTAAGTTTTTATGTTATTAGTATTTTTAACTTGTTTTATCAATATTATTATTGTTTTAAATCCTCATTTTAATTTTTTTGAACTTGGCTGAAAAGTTTGCAGTACTGATAAAGTTAACTGCTCTTAAATCCATTACTGAAAAACACAATCATCGGCTAAATTCCGCTTAAATTTGTTGCACCTTTTTGGAATACAAACTTTATTACTTTAATGGGTAGGAAAAAGTAACGAAAGGGGGTAAAAGGGGGAAATTTGATTTTATTCAAACACAATCCTGTCTGTTCTGTAAACCGAATCCGACTAAATTTCTCGTTTAAAAAGGAGTTCTCATAATTGTTCTCGTTTTAAAATCGAGTACACAGATCTAGTCGAAAGTAAATGGAATTTAATTTTATTCTAATAAACAATTGTAACTAAATGTGAATGCTATGGACATTTTAGACTCTTTTTCATTTAAATATGTTTATTTTTCTGAATTTAACGTTCAAATAAAAATTCGGTTCTAATAGCTTCTCGGTTTTGAAAAAGAATCGATTTACAGAACAGACATGAATGTGTCAATTTAGATAAAATTTTTAGATTTAGAAACAATAAATATGCTAATAGGGAGTTATTTGGAACCCCGGTAGCAAGTACTTTTTGAGTTTTCTATATTAAAATCGAATCATGAATATAATAATAAAGAGCCCAGAGTAAATGCGAACATATAAAATTTGACCTTTTGGTAATTTTTCGTTCTTCAACTGGTACTTTTTAAATATTTTATTATAATGAACCTAGAAACATGAAACTAAGCAATCAGGGGCTTGAGTGAATAGAAATTTAAAATGAAGTATTTATTATCTGGTACTTTTTCCTTATTTAACTGGTACTTTTAGGATTTTCTATAATATTTTACTTAGGAACATGAAATTAGATAAAAGAGGTCTACTTTGGTACTTTTTCGTACTTCAACTGGTACTTTATGAGTTTTCTAAAATATTGAATATATAAACATAAAATTAAACAAGCAGTATCCTGATTGAACGAAAATTTAAAAAGGAAACTTTTTGGTAATTTTTTGTTCTTTTACTAATACTTTTCGAATTTTCTATAATATTAAATCTGAACACAAAATTGCACATGCAGCTTCCCGATTGTATGCGAAGAATTTCTGAATTGATGTTGTTCTGGTTCTCATTATCCCTAACATACTTATTTTTTCTTTTACGGCTGGGGAACACATTTGATAGTTTTGTCTGTTCTGAAAGTGGAATCGGTTTCTAAAACCGATAAACTTTTAAAACCGAATTTGGTGTTCTGCAAATTGAATTGTTATTTGAACGTAAAAGTCACAAAAACACAAACATAATTATTTAATTTATTAGATTATTCAAAATTTTATTATATTATTATACGCGGCAAAAATAAATTCCTGGGAAAATATAGGCCGATCATCATAAAACTTGGTGAAAGGATATGTTTTTAATTTTTTAAAATTAATCAAATTAAATTTTTTAATTTTTTTTTTCCATCCCCGTATAATTTCTCACACAAGTTTTGTGCATCCTCTATTTTATTATTATAAATTATATACAAAATCCCACTTAAAAATCTCTCGGATTCCATTTTTATTTAGGTTAGGTAGGCAGGTCGTCCTCGCGATGTCATCACTGGCGACACACTTGGGACCAGTATTTTGATACCTTTGTGATACCTGAAACGAGAGAAAACGGTCAGCGTATTAGTTCACTTCGACCTAATCACTCTGGTTTCCTAAACCGAACCAGTTTGTCGCACGAATATAGGAATCTATCTTTCGGATATTGACCTTCGATAGATCCGCTAAGTCATGCAGAAAATGGCTACCTAGCAGACCCATTCTGTGATCAGCTAGGGCGGGACAATGACAGAGGAAGTGTGTTATACTCTCTTCTTCCTCTTCATACTGGCAGCTCCTGCAGAAGTTAATGCTATATCCGATCGGTTATCTATGATCAGTACATCGCCATACTCTTCGAATTTGCAATCTCTATGGATCTACAGACCAGGTTGTTTGGTGGCTGGTCGCTGTGGTCGTGAGCCATGTACGCCGAAATAACCAATATAGCACCTACACTGGTCTCCCATATGGCTGCTACGGTGACTTCATCACTGAAATCAGAAAGAATGAAGATGTTGAGACTGCTTTTGGCTACTATACAGGATCGAATCTTACCAGATCCTTTTGCGTACAGTAGCTTATAGTTTTTCATGCCTAGCCCACTCACCCTTTCTCGGTGAATCCATGGTTCCTGGACTAGGGCGAGCTCCTTCCCACTTACGCCCATTCGGAGGAGCAGTGCAGCCGAGGCTGCTTTGGTGTGGTGGAGATTAATTTGGGTTACTCTCACCATCTCCTTTTTTGTCTTTTCGCAACATTGTGACGTTGGCGTCCTCCTTGTCAGAGGCAAGGACATCGTACTCGTCAACTGACTCTTGCCCCTCCTTAACCAACTTAGAAGTTGATAGACTCAGCGAAAGGTCAGTCTCGTCGCAAGACATATCCGCAGCGGATTGGTCAGAATCGGGATCATCCTGTTCCAATAGTCCCTTGTCATCGCCTCGGTAGACATGAAGGAAGATCGACTCGAAACCGTAGTAGACCTTCCCTTGTCTCTCGCGAAGTGGCGCCAGTTACTCTTGCTTCAAGATCACAACAATCCTTCTGGAGCTGCCTACAGGTTGAGAAACCCTAACGTCCTTCCAGTCTTGAGTTGGAAGGTAGGAGTTCCAGTATCGCAGCCTTTTTGTGTGGTTCCGCAGGAATTATGGCGGTGGATCTAGGGCTTCTCGTCCACAGAGACCACTTCCAGCATAGCGCCTTCCCACGGATCCTTTATCAGCGACACAGCCTGCTTCAGGAGCAAAACTGAGCACTCGTTGCATTAGCTTCACTCTATTGTGAAACCAACCGCCGTCCTCACACTGTGGGGGACCAGGGTTCTGTTTAAGAACTTCCCAGAACACCCCCATCAGCTTTTTTTCGCAATATGTCCCATCTAGATGGAGACATAGCGCTATCTATGTCACCCCTGTCGATGACAACACGCGTGAATTGGTTCTCAACCACTTCACCGAGGGTCCTGTCATGCGGCTTGGGGGGCAAAGGTTTCGGAAGTTTTGTCCCGGGCTGCTGGCCCTGAAGATTATCCTCCTCCGTTTAGGCGCGTCTTTAGACGTGAGGGGAGACTCTTCTCCAGAACGGCCAATTTTCCCTTAGCCCATTCTAGAGATGACTTGTCCTCTTTATTTAGCGACTCAACTGGCTTGCCAGCTAAGCGCGCTAGAATTTTGGCGGCGGAGTGCCGTTGTAAGAAGGCCCTTTTTGCCGGTGTAACGTGCCTAGGGGTCTTACTATTCGCCGTAGTGGCATTGGGTGATGCCGTTTGAGAACCCGAAATCTTGTTCGCAGTTCTCTCGTGCATAACCGGCACTGGGGTTGCTACCTTGGCTTTTGTGGCCTTGGTAGTCCCCGAAACAGGGGGTTCTATCGGCATTTTGCCAATACGGACCTGAGCTGCTTTTGAGGTACTTGGGGTGACATTCAGGGTACCTCGCTGCTTATTTTGCTGCATCCAACTTTGGAGCCAGATGCTGATATTGTTTTGCGACTGCTGGATCCCTTACCGGATACGCGGGGTACGGCTTCTTATCAGACATTGAACAATGATACGGTGTGCATTTTATACTTGCTGCCAAGTATGTGATTCTGCATATGATGTGCTTGCAGACCACCAAGTGGGAACAGACGCTGGTGGATTTAGACGGACATATAAGCCTTCGCATCGCGTCAAGATGACTACCCGTCGCGAAGGCGTTTTTATTTAAAATCTTTGAAAATGTTAAAATTAAGCGTATTTGAGAACTTAGCCGGCTTACAGTCGATTTTAAGCCGCCGAAGATATTTTTAGTGTCAGCCGCCGCCGTCAATATTTGTAGGCACAGGGTTCTAACAGAGCAGTAGTTCATAAAATTTTCTTGAAATTAGACACACGACCAAGAGAAGAAAAATAAACATACAAAAATAATACGGGAGTTTTATAATTTCGAAAGCATTTTTTCAATACAAAAATTCTTTATAATTTTTTTAGTTCTTTTAATTTTATTATTGTACAATAACCTAAAAACAACCAGTTTAATTATAAAATAAAGTAAGAAGTCCTCATTACTAAGGTTAAACGTTAAAAGAAAACGAATTAAGAAAAAAACTAGAACAAAAAAGTTGACGCCATTTTGGTGTATGTGTTGGAGACCTTATAAAGTGAAAAAAATAGAAAATCAAGAAAAAAGTGCGTGTATGTGTTGTGTATGTGAATTGTGAAAAAAATAGCAAAATAAATCTATATTTTCAGAAAGATTTTCATAAATTAATAACTAAAACCTAGCAAAAAGTTAAAAGTAAAATAAATTGTATGTGTTGAAAAAAGTAAAAAATAGAAGAAGAAGCGAAAAGTAGTTGAAAACAATGGCAAAGGTTTATGAAAAATCCATTTCTCAACTTAGCAACAATTCCCTATTGCAACAACAACAGCAGCAGCATCATCTAACACAGCAACAGCCCTCTTCTTTATCTTCGTCATCTGTGCTATTGCAACAACAACAATCTGTGTTAAGCAACATACAACAACAGCAGCAACAACAAAAACCAAATAATAATAACAATGCCCTTGCAAATGCAAACAATTTTATAGGTGGTTTTAGTTCTTTCGATAGTGATTCTTTACCCGATTATTCTGAATTCGATTCAGAATCGGTAACATTGGATTATTTCAAGGAAAGGTATGAATGGTCTCGAACTTAAGGGAGTTTTTTTTCTTTTTTTTTTTGTAATTTTATAAGTTCGTTACGTTTTGTTTGTTTTTCTTCGTTGATTCGTAACTTTTGTTATGTTTTTGTTTTGTTTTATTTGTTATTGTTTATTAATTTTGTTGTTTGTTGTTTTTGTTAATCCATATTTTGCATTTTTTTATTTATTTCTTTTTAACATTAACATTTTTTATTATTTATTTACTTACTATCCCCTAAATATTTTCTTTTGTTTACTTTTTTATTCCTCCTCGTTCTTCTTCTTGATTGCCCACCCCTTTTCGTTTTGTTGTCATTTTTTAAGTACCTTTAATGTTTCCCGTTACATTTTTTTATTGTATTTCTTCTTCATTTACGAGAAAAAATCTAAAGCAAAAAAAAAAAAACGTCATTAAATTGTCCTTTGTTTTGTTTTCATTTATTTGTTCATTGTTGTTTTTTTAATTGTCATTTTTATTTCGTTTATGTCATATAATGTCTAGAAATTCATTCACAGGTGCATTGTTTAAACACAACAAACATTTTTATTCGAATTTTATAAATGAAACAGTGGTATTGATTAATTTAACTTTTATCAAAATTTCCCGTATCATAATTAGCATAGACATGGTATTGTTTGACATTAAAAATTTGCCATACTAGGTATAGGTATTTTCTGCGAATGTGAGAAATATTGTATTGGTTGTATATTGTTAAACGCTCTGTTTTGTTGGGATAATATAAAGGAAATACCATTTCTTCCTTTATTTTATATACATAAATTAGATATAGAAATAACTAAATTTTGTGACTGGAAGTTTGAAGATCAAAAGTGGCTTGGTAATAGGCCAATTTTATTAAGTTAGAAAGTCTCTGAATTACAAATTTGTTGGCCTGTGCAATTAAAGGTTCTTTATGGTTAAAGAATAAGAAATTGACTAAAATGAGTGATAATCCTCGGCATCTTCGAATAACGTGAACAGTTTACACTATTTTAGAAGCTTTAGGTGCTATAAAGCTGCTCTTAAACTCTTATAATACCTCTAACTATAATACATACCCTAATCCAAGTACAGATTCCATCATAATAAAAGTCATTGAAATTTCTTCCTTTGCTTTAATAAAAATTTTCAATATTACATATATTAAAAAAGTTGTAAGATCTTTTTATTTTCTCTTTTTGTTTTCATTCAATGTAAATTATATTAGATCATCAACGATGCCAAAAACATAAATTACACCATATTTGCTAGTAGTATTAAATTCACTTGTATAGAAACCCACATCTATTTTGTGGTCGTTATTGTTTGAATTTAAAAAGTTTCACATTCGTTGTAAAGAAAGAAAAAAACACCTAATAACATGCTTAATAATTTTTAGTTGAATATTTTAACTAAAAATTAGCACATAATTTCATAGACATGGCAAACAGTAGGGGTGATCTAAATAGCAAAAAAAAAAAAACAAATAAAAGTAAAAATTTCTGTTTTACAATAATTAAATTAAAATGAAATTAAGAACGGAAATAGACTAGAACTGAACCAGAACTGAACTAGAACTGAACTAGAACTGAACTAGAACTGAACTAGAACTGAACTAGAACTGAACTAGAACTGAACTAGAACTGAACTAGAACTGAACTAGAACTGAACTACGAACTGAACTAGAACTGAACTAGAACTGAACTAGAACTGAACTAGAACTGAACTAGAACTGAACTAGAACTGAACTAGAACTGAACTAGAACTGAACTAGAACTGAACTAGAACTGAACTAGAACTGAACTAGAACTGAACTAGAACTGAACTAGAACTGAACTAGAACTGAACTAGAACTGAACTAGAACTGAACTAGAACTGAACTAGAACTGAACTAGAACTGAACTAGAACTGAACTAGAACTGAACTAGAACTGAACTAGAACTGAACTAGAACTGAACTAGAACTGAACTAGAACTGAACTAGAACTGAACTAGAACTGAACTAGAACTGAACTAGAACTGAACTAGAACTGAACTAGAACTGAACTAGAACTGAACTAGAACTGAACTAGAACTGAACTAGAACTGAACTAGAACTGAACTAGAACTGAACTAGAACTGAACTAGAACTGAACTAGAACTGAACTAGAACTGAACTAGAACTGAACTAGAACTGAACTAGAACTGAACTAGAACTGAACTAGAACTGAACTAGAACTGAACTAGAACTGAACTAGAACTGAACTAGAACTGAACTAGAACTGAACTAGAACTGAACTAGAACTGAACTAGAACTGAACTAGAAATGAACTAGAACTGAACTAGAACTGAACTAGAACTGAACTAGAACTGAACTAGAACTGAACTAGAACTGAACTAGAAACTAGAACTAGAACTGAACTAGAACTGAACTAGAACTGAACTAGAACTGAACTAGAACTGAACTAGAACTGAACTAGAACTGAACTAGAACTGAACTAGAACTGAACTAGAACTGAACTAGAACTGAACTAGAACTAACTAGAACTGAACTAGAACCTAAACTAGACTGAACTAGAACTGAACTAGAACTGAACTAGAACTGAACTAGAACTGAACTAGAACTGAACTAGAACTGAACTAGAACTGAACTAGAACTGAACTAGAACTGAACAGAACTGAACTAGAAATGAACTAGAAATGAACTAGAAATGAACTATAACTGAACTAGAAATGAACTATAACTGAACTAGACTGAACTAGAAACTGAACTAGAATTAAACCTAAACTAAAACTTATCTAGGTATTTGAACATTCTACCATCCCTGTCACAGCGGAATTACCGATCGAATGTGCATACTTTGTATAGACCTTTACAAATGATTTGATTTTTATTTGATTTCCGATTCTAATTTTTGTCATTTGTTGTTTTTTTTTTATATAAAAAAGGCTTAACAATAATAATATTGTCTATTGTCGGTTGCTTTAAAATTAAGTGCCTATTTTTATTTTATTATTTATATGAATTGTATTATTTGTGTCTGATTTTTTAGTGATTTCATAATTGAAATTAACTAACAATACATTTTATATCCATCTTCCTGTCTCATCCCCAGCCACCAACAACGAACACATACCAAACAAACATTCATCTAATCTATTCATTTGTCATTTGTAGCATACAAATAGTTTTCATTATATGTATGTATTCGGTTGTATTTAGATTTATACATCTTCATACATATAGAAATACATATACATTTTTGATTTAAATTATCTATAAAGGAATATTAGTTTTTGACTTGTTTCTGAGAAAAAAAATGAAAATACTTTTGGGTGGACAAGAAATGTGTTGTGTAGGAGTAAAAGTATTTTAGGTCTTTTTGCTATTTGCATAAATTATGCTGTTTAATAATACCTTGTTTTTTAGCATAATAATAATGTTCCAGGGAATGTACTAGTTCTTCTGCAACTTAGGGCTACTTTTAGCCATTCGAAACCCAGAAGACTAGCTATTTTAGAAGTGCTTATCATAGAAGGAAGTAATTGACTTCAATCAATCATTCATTCAAAGAGAAAGTCAAATAGCTACTCCAAAGGTGCCATTACATCGCAATGAATCTTTTCGCTTAAGTGTATATTATCTAGATTACTTTTGGACGAATTAATAACCTTGACACTTTCCTAACCAATTAATATGTATTTCTTTAAAGAATTTACTTTTACTCTTCACCAGTAATTAGTCGTACATACATAGATTTTTGTTTAGTCTGCTATTTTTCCTTCTCTATACACTTTTTTTTTTATACTTCTCTATTCTATTCAACCATTCATACCATTTTTTTCTCATTTGATTTAAAATGTTGCTGCTGTTGCCAAAAATTTTCATTTTTTCCCTTTTTACCGAAATATTTTTTTCATGTCGTTTTGCTTACATTTGCTTCCTTTAATGCAAATATTCATAAATTTTATCTTTTGTCTACACGTTTTTTTTATAATAAATATTCTATGAATAGTTTTATAAAATATTTTTTGTATTTGTTCATTTCCATTGTAGTTGTTGTATTTTCTATTCTTTTGATTATTGCCGTCTCGTAAAACTATTTCTTTTAGTTTTGTGGTTGTTGACTTTGCTTTTGTCACTGTCACAACTACATACATGTATGTATGTGTGTGAATGTAAATGTTGACAAACATTCGTATCAAAAAATTTTTAAGTAAAAATAAACAAACAAATAATAAAAACATCATAATGATGAAAAATTATTATGATTCAATATTTATTGATGCGCAACAATGACTAAATGTTTCCAATGATTATTATTTACATTCTAAACAAATACATATTTTCTATTTTCTATACTTGTTGTTATTGTTGTTATAATATGAAAGTTATAAAACTTTTTTTAAATCATACATAATATTCATACACAAACTCTTACATATACATACATAGTAATGTGCATAGTACTATGCAATAAATTAGTTTTTAGTAAATGTTTTCATTTAATTACCCAATAAGTAATATTGTTACTAAAATACAGGGAATTGCTTGGAATTTTTTAAAGTTAAAAACAAACGATTTCTGAGATTATCATTTAAAACAATAAAAATACTTTGTAAAGAAGTCCTTCGCTTAAGGATCTTGGGAGTAAAGCTCCTTCGTCGTGGCCTTTTGCATCCTATTTGAAATTTGAGATATCGTGATCTAAAGTTTTAAAATACTTAATTTTTGGCCCATTTTGATACGTTATAACAGCTTTAAGACAATATTATTTATAAAATTTTGTAGACCATCTGAAATTCCATTCTGTCAATTTTAAAATAAAGGCTTAACATCTTTGTCCTTCGAGATGTCGTCACCTAAAGCATGAAAACTCTGGTTTTCGGTGTATTCATGGTACTTATACCCTAAACTACTATATTACGAAGGGTATTATTCTTTGTAAATATTATAATATTTGATCCACACTTATCTGACATTGTTCCAATTGACTCAAAATCACTTTATAATCCGATTTAACAATGTCTGTCC